CCTCAATTTTATAGAGTTAGCCAAATTCAAGTCAATAAGAGACAAAGAAATAATCCATAGCCACCACTATCTAGCCTAAACTGTTTAGCCTGACGGTAGAGTTTTTAAATAAATCTGGTGGATATGGAACCACACACAACCCCCTCTAACCTGGGATAATGCAACTAAATGGATAATTGCTAACTATTCTCAGAGATAATGCAATCAAATGGTTGTTATGGAGGCTGCGCCCCGGACCCCCTGTGTTAGATACTGTATTTGGTCATGATGAATTGTTTATTAGACTATAAGAAATCCTCTTCTTCTTTGTATTGGCAAGGGAGTTTGCTTTTAACTTAGGTATGCTAGCCTAAGTAAAAAATAGACACGGAGCCGCGAAGACCTGATTCTTTTGCTGCATGTTTGAGTCTGCAACTTTGTTGTGATAAGACACTCAATCCTAGTGATTGTACTTATCAATATAGTGATTGTGTAATTACCATCACAGATTGTACGGGAAATTCCAACTTTGGAAAAAACAAATATTTGGCCTACCCAAATTTTGACTACTACCCGTGCGTCTACGTCCTGGATTGGCCAATCAGTGGTGCCCCACGGTGGCGTGATACATGCACGTTTACTGCGGTGCTCTGATTGGCTGACCGAACGTGGCGTGGTAGGTAGGCTGTTTCTACTCTCTAAGTCCTCTTCTTTCCTTTTTTTCATCCCCCTCATGCACTCCGTTCTTTGAACGGGGCGGACTTGTCGATCCGGCAAGGAACCCCGTGATAGGTGCAGGGCACCCCTTGTCCGGGGGCCGCCTGTAGGTGGCAACTTTTTAGATATTACTATAGTCACAGGTAACCTGCGCAGACGACGCCCGTCCAAGAGGGGGGGTGGGGTCACTGCTCTGTGCAGGAGCCCTAAAAGTTATAGGTAGGATTAGATGTAATCAAGAAGATGACAACTAGCATTAGAATAAAACATAGAGATAAGGGACACTCTATTGAAGGGGAATGGCAGAAATCACTTACAACAAACTGCAAGTCCCACTAACTAGAATATTCAGCAGCACCACGAAGGTTTTAGCAATCTGTGGAAGATGACTTTTATCCAGATAACTTTTTCAAAAGAAGCAAGAGATATATTTTACAATGAAGGCCTTATTGTTGTCATGCCACCAGAACAAAAAGCAAAAAGATCAGTTTTTGTTCGTCAAGTCGATCAAGAGATCGGGAGGAAGACCTGAAAGAAGAACTGAACGCCAAAATAGGTGGATGAAGATTGAAGAAGTCATTAAGATAAAGGACTATACTCATGTTTGAAGAAGTGTCAATGGCTGAGAAAGTTTTACAACAGGGCTTTCTAATATTCAACATGTCAGTCACACCACATCAAATAAAGAAGGAGACATTCATCAGTCTGCAAACTTGCTTCTCCTGCTACAAATATGAAGAACACACAACGAGAGACTGTCCGGAAAAAGAAAAAAGTACTGCTCAGATTGTGCAGGCGACGACCATACCTACACTGAATGTAAGAATACACATGTTGGCTGTCTCAACTGTAAGAGAAACGGGAATGTATACATAGGACATAGGACGTTAGCAATGGCATGCCCAATAAAAAAAAACACATGATAAAGTACAAGGAACAAGAAACAAGGAAAAAGGAACAAGACAAGAAGGATACAACATACGTCGAAATAGCAAAGAGAGCGGTCCAAGAGGCTCATAGACCAGAACTACAGTATTAAACCTAAGTGAGCCAATACATGATAAGGTAATGATTAGTATGATCCAGCTAATATTTGCACAATATCATTGCACCCGGATCATACAATGAGGAATTAAGGAAAATGTTTAAACTGAATAACCTACCAGAGATGATATTTCCAGAGAATCCACAATCCGAAAAACTATTTCAGACAACATATGCAAGCGAACTGAGAGAAAGACTACATCAAGACGAACAAAGGTTTGAGCAAGGAGCAACAGCTGATACACAAGGAACACAAGCGACTGATAGAGATCCCAGACAAATGACTAGAAGTGACAAAGAGAAGATAGAAATAACAAAAGGACAGACAAAGGAGTAGGAGGAGAGAAGATAAGATGGAAACTGATCACAATATACAACCTGAATCTGCTGAAGAAATTGGATTAAAAGTTATCACTACAACAAAACATGGAATCCCAACATCGAGACCAACAGGAGGGACAATAGTAAAAACTGTGAAGGAGGGATATACAAGTGGACATATCAAGAAAAATCCCTAAGTGAAGATTATGTCTGGTCACTAATTACTACGGACAAACTAAAGATTACGGCCAAAGACTTTAAAATAGTAGACCCGTCAGAGTATAGAAGAGTCAGAAGCGGGAAACAGGATGATAGGTCTCCACTCCAACTGACTGCCACAATCCAAGTATAAGAAATAATGGACAATAGACAAACAGTAAGAACTTTAAGAATAATACAACACAACGTAAGAAACTGGAAGACCTAGAGAATTAACCTA